ATCCTCCCAAGCCCCAAGATATATAAAATTAGTTCGTTGTCACATTGTTCTAACCTTTTACAATTAATATACTATATTTAAAAGATTCAAAACTACTACGTATATAATTTAATTGTTTTTTTAAAAAAAAAGAAAAAACTATATAATTTAATTAATTATTTAGCAGTTTTGGAAGGATAAGCAAGCATCTACATGAAAATGACTTGAGTGTGTATCTTCAAACTATGACAGATTAAATAGTAGTATAATAATGCATCCCACTCTTAAGTGGAAATAGTCTATTAGTATGGATCAACCATCATGTATAATTTATGCAATAAAATAATGATCCTACCTTTCTTTTTCTTTCTTTTGTTAAATTTTTAATTTACAACTTGCAAAGGAAAATAAAGAATAATACTCTTACTAAAGCATTGCTTGGATGAAGATTCATCATATCGACATATATATAGATGCATGCATAGTGATGCATGGCTTGGGATGTATAGCGTAAACGTGAGGGTGGTGTGTGACAAATTAAATTAAATTATAATTCTTTTACCTTTAAAAGCGATGTTCTTTTTCCTTTTTGTTATTAAGTCTTTAATAGAAAAGAAGGGTAAAAAAAATTACAGTATATACAATAGCAATTACCTTTAGCTTAAGTTATAATATACGTCTAGGTAGACTCTATACTACGAATCGAAGTACATTTTGTCATTTTGACTCATTTTAAATTATAGTACTCCACTAAACTTTCATAAATTTGGGTAAAAATTGATATCAAGATCCATTCATCGTGGTGATCGATTTACTTTAGGTGGTGGACTGGTGGTTATGATCCTAATTTAATTCTACATACTATTCCGTACCTTCATTTTTAAAAGTTCGACTCACTTACTATTCATGCATGTGGTTAAAATAAAATAACTTTTACCATATTTTTTGATTAATATCATAAATATAAATTAGCATGTGGGATCTTATTAGATGCCCCTTATTATAAATTTTCCAAATATCAACTTAATAAGTTTCACTTATACATAGCTGATTATATATATATTCATTGTCAAAGATTTTCTTTGAAAACCGCGCAAATGCAAAGTAAGTCGAACTTTCAGAAACGTAGGGAGTATATATATATATATATTCTTTAAGGAATCCTAATTCTACATATAAGTATAAGCTAATAAGGAAGTTAGTGATATCAATTAATCAAAATAGATAAGCAAGTTAAAATCATCTCATTAATAAAAAGTCATCCATCATCTACAAATGAAATTTCGATTAACAAATAATAAAATAGAAAGGTTTTTTTAAAAAAATAAAAAATAAAAAATTAGATAAGCAAGTTATAGAGTATCTTTAGTCCTTTGGAGAGTTTTTAGTTTAAAAGGGTTAATATAAGCTAAGTTAAATAGTGAAATCAGATATAGTCTAAGCTAAAAAGTGAAGAATACTCTAAACTCTGTATATAGTTGAGTTTTCTCTACCAAATAGAGAAAAAAAAAAGATTAATATACTAGTGAACATAATTGAATGTGAAATTACCTGAACTCATATATATAAATTTAAACTCCTATACATTGCATAAAAAAAAATATATATAAATAAATAAAAATTTGATTTGTTATTTCAGAATTATTTGCCTCATTGGATTTTCATTAAGTATATACGGATCCGAGTATCATTCATGAAGGATTAATATATAGATTCTTTTTAATTAGGTTAATTTTTTTTTTCCCCCAAAAAAACGTAACGAATGTGGGCATATATATAACCTCCTTAAATAGTTAAATGCACTTAGGTCATGGGAGACAACTGATTTCAATGATTTTATTTCTCTCATTTAGTTAAGTCATTAACTTGCTCGCGTCACCTTGTTTTTTTCGACAGAGAGCATGATAACATCATAGTAGCCTCGTAGGCCAATCGAAGGTTACGTTACTTCTTTGTCACCAATAATAGACATTTCTCGGCTCTTTCGTAACGCATACTTAACCACCAATAGATACCTCTCTTCTGCATAAATGTCCTGTGACAAGTGGCTTATTTGAAATAAATTATGCTTGTACGTAATGGATAATTTACATCCATTTATAGATCTACCTCAGGTGTGCGTCATATAAATCTGTTAATTTTCTCTATTTTTTCTTAGGGCTTGCCTCTTCGAAATTAATCACACATATTTTCTTTTTAAAAAATCATGAAACTTTACCATGCTACTCATAGAAGAAATAACATGCATTTCATCTGTTTCATTTTTGTGTGTGTGATATTTCATCTTATTATATTTTAGCCTGAAATGTTTTCCTATATATATTATCAATTATCATCAATCATGATTCATGACGTTAAAAACGACTTACCGTTAGACTTTATTTTGTATATAACCAGCACAAACTCGTAAATATTACGTCCATAATACTTCAAATTACATTGTAGAAAGAAAAAAAAAAATATTTTGCCCATACTTGATGTTGTAAATACCAAATAAATTATGGTTCAACAATATCTACCATAAATGAACTTTAATATTTATAAGATGGTGGAATTTATAGTATTATTATTATCAAATGCGGTGGAATGTGACAATGTGAAAAAAATAAAAATGAAAAGAGTAATAAGCCTATCATCTATCATGTGCATCTAATAATGGAGATATACAACGGCAGTAATTTTTAATGCGCAAGTGTCATACGCTCATACCCTTACATTTAATTCTCTCTGTTTTCATTTTCATTTTATTTTTGTTAAATTATTTTATATATATTTGTACACAAATTCTTATACGTGGCGCTCACACGGTGTGACCAGGTATCATATAGGTTACTTCATTATTATTATAGAGGTTATTCGGTACAAGGGTTATTTCGTCAGTATTATATGATCATGAGTTACTTCGTTCTTTTACAAGCGGTCACATGATGTGGCCAACCGCATACGAGAATACAAGATGCGGTAATATTTGTATTTATATTTATATTTGTAAATTCCTCATTAAAAACAATAATGGTTTCGTACACCCGGGTGTACCATGCGCATAGTACACCCGGAAGAACATCACCCTATGAATAAAAGAACATTACCTATAAATAGAAGAACATTAATATAAATAAAAGAACATTGTCTATAAATAAAAGAACATTACTTATAAAAAAAAAATCGTAGTTATAATAATTTATTATACATTACAAACGGACATAGAGTACATCAAAAAGACCGTTACATATAAAATACAGAACATTATATACAATAAAAGAACATAACTTAAAAATAAAATAACATTACATATAAATATAAAAGAACATTATCTTTCTGAAAAAGAACGTTACATATAAATAATGGAAAAATGCTACTACCCAAACCCATGGAAGAAGATGATGAACAACAATGGTAGTGGCAAAAATTCAAACAATCCAAGTAATTTCATGATAATAAAGCTTTATATGAACAACAAATATTATCACAAAACACAAAATATAAGTAAAAATAACAAGCAAAGAGAGAGTTCACTATTGAAGTACAACCTAGGGTTTCATATTCATGAAGTAGAACAAAGATGAACAAAGAAAGAGAAGTCATACCTCAAATGAGTAGAAAACCTTTGTAAAGTGAATTAATAGTGGAAATCAAGCAAGTTAAACACTTCAACTTGCAAGTTTTTTAGCCAAAATAAAATATACCCAAAATTCTCAAATCATGAAAAATCCGAAAATTTGGTTGTGAAATTTGGATTTTGAAGTATAAAATCTAGTATAAATGTGTCTGTGAGTGATGAAATAAGCACATAAAAACTATAAGGGGCCGTTTGGTTCGCTGGAATGGGGAAAGGGAATGAGAATGATTCCCTTTGTTAGTGTTTGTTTTCACACTTTTGTCATTCCCATTCCTCCATTCTATTTTTTGGTTTACCCAAAAGTCTTCTAGACTCATTCCCCACCCCCCTACCTTTCCCGTTCCTTTCCCCAACCACCACCATACCCCATCAGCTTGCTGCTGCTCGCCGGAATTGCTGCTGCTCGCCGGATGTTCGTCGGCCTTCCCCAGACCCTCGCCGCCCTTCACCGCCCTTCGCCGCCCCTCCTCCCACACGGAAAACCTTCCCCGACCTTCTTCTCTCTTTCTCTCTCCTCCATTTTCCCAGACATTTTAGGTACGCTCCTCTACCTCTTTACTCTAATTCAGTTCTAAAATTCTGTATATTTTTTATGAATTAGTTCAATTCTAGATTTGTAAATTTTCGTTTATTTTGAATTTGCCATTTTTTCTGGTAAATTTTGCATGAATTCAACTTTTTTGACGAGGGGGAGGGGCGGCGAAGGTAGGATTAGTGGTGGCTGGTTCCGGTGTGGTGTTGGTCGGGCGGTGCGGTGGTTGGAGAAGGTGGAAAATAATGAAGGAAGGGGTGCAATGGTTGTGCTGTGGTGGTTCTGTGGTGGTTTCATTCCATTCTCCTCCATTCTCACCAAACAACACCCTAAATTCAAAGGGTTTCATTGCATTCTCCACCATTCCCTTTTTGCATTCCATTCCGATTACCCTGTGCAAACCAAACGGCCCCTAAAAATCAAGAAATGAAATGGAAGAAGTTAGAGGGAGAGGAGAGAGAGTATCGAAAAGAGAGAAAATGAATGAGTGAAATGAGCATTACATATAAAATAAAAAAACATTACATATAAATGAGACTTCATAAAAAAAGAACATTAAATTTATCCCAATATTTTATTATTTATATGTAATGTACTTCCGTTTTCCGGGTGTACCATGCACTTGTTGGCTTTAGATACACCCCCCCTCTACCATATTATTTTCAATTAAAAACCATCCCAAGGCACTTGTTGGCTTTTGGCAATGGTACACATGAAAATTAGACTCTAAATTAAGGGTATATTTGTCAATGCAAAGTTGATGATAGTAATAATTACAGAATCAGATGTAAAAATAGCTTTTAGAAGTAAACATTAAAAAGCTTTGGATTTTCTGATAATAATTATAATAATAATCAAGTCATTGCCGTGTTTGACCCCAAAAGCCATTTAAGAGAGAATTCAGCAGCAGACATTCAGAAGCTTAGTTTTAGAGAGAGAAATTTGTTAAGAGAGAGAAAATTTCAGATTTTTAGAGATTTGGGATTTAGTGTTCTTAAATTGGGGTTTTCTTGTTTGTTTTATTTTTTTCTAAGTCAAAATCAACCCTAAATAACTTGTTTAAGTTTCTTGTTTAAAGTTTTGATTTTGGATTCTGGGTTCTCTTCAGAATTTCATAAGATTTCTGGGTTTATTTTTTTACTGTGTTAATCTGAATTTGATTGTGTATGTGATTTTCTAGAGAGAGAAAGTGGTAGTTTTTTTAGAGAGAGAAAGAGATGAACAGAGGAGGAGATGGGGAGATGAATAGTGCTATGGAGACCGTCAGCGCAGCTGCTACTGCGATCGCTTCTGCTGAGTCTCGGGTCCCACCTTCTTCTGTTCAGGTAATTTCACCAATTTCATTTATTTATTACTTATATTTTTGGAATATTTGTGAAATTTATTAAAATAAAAAGGCAGGGGAAATGGTAGTTTTCTTGATTTTGCTTAATTTTTCTGGTTTTTTTGAAGTGGGTTTGCTGTTTATTTAAGTTTGTGCTAGATTCAAGATCTGGGTCTTTTATATATGCTCAGAATTTATATAATTTGAGATTCAAAATGTTGAATATGTGTATTATTAGTGAGTTTTTGAAGTAGGTTTTGTTGGTTACTGTTTGATTGTTATGAAATGTTTAGAGAGTGAAATTTGTCTGGTTACTGTTTGATTGTTATGAAATGTTTAGAGAGTGAAATTTGTCTGGTAAAATGATTTGAATTTGTGAGATACTGAATTTGATTGATTGTTGCTGAACTTGTAAATAGAAGTCTGTTGTAGAATAGTCAACGCCCAAATCCGAAATCGCCTTTGTTCGTTCCTAACTTCCTAACAAAGATTGATAATAAGTGGAGGCAGCATGAGAAAGTTTCTTGTAAGTAATAACCATTTGTTTGTTTCTTAGATAAGTTTCATAGGAGTAATAATAAAATAAACTTAGTCTAATTAGCAAGTGACACGATAACTTCAGTGTGTAATGAACCGTGAGACTCCTTGATGATTTGGGGCTATGAATGGTAATAATGGCATAGTGTATTAGTATGATGACAGGCGAGTGGTATATTGGTATGGCTATAGAACATATCGGGACATTGAGGACTTGATATATGCAATATATTGGTTGTCGGAGTCTGTGTATGAGGTGTTCTTTAGTCCTCTCTGTATCTCACCATCTGATCTGTTTTATATTGTTTTGAGTGTAGCCGAGTAGTATCCAGGAAGAATTGACATTTTGTCTCTCATGTCCTTGTGTGATATACATTTGTGACTATTTGGTTTGTGGCAGTCCCTGAACATGAGTAATACTTGCAAGGATATATATTGGGACGTCCTGCTTGACCCTCCAAGGGCAAGATTCATTTTAAGCATATCTCGTTGATTTGTTATACAACAGACTGCAAGACTCTTTCCGATCACATAAAAGATAAAACCTTAAACACATGTTTGGCTAATTATTGTCTAATTGTTTATAGCACTTACTACACCTTTTCTTATGATACCTATCCCCAAAACTGACAATCTGATGTAATGGTTATATTATAAATCTGCTCATATTGTAAATTTTTCTGATGGTGGATCAGGAAGCTTTTTATAAAATAAAAAAGAAAACAGGTACGTGTACATGGTGTGCTTATTCAAGAATTATCCTATGTAATTTATTGGAAGTTTAAGAATAAGATTACTTTGAATGTCAGTTTGCTCAAAGTGTGGTGACTGCTAAACTTGAGCAACTATGTGGACTGTAGTTACCTATTCACGAAGTTTATGTTTTGAGTTTTTTGGTCTGTGGTTGTTTTGGTACCATGGGGTTATTTTTCGTCTTTGTTAGTTTGTCTAATACATATGATTCTTTTACTAGCAGAAACGAAGGTGGAGTGGCTGTTTGAGCACATATTGGTGTTTTGGTTCCCAAAAGAATAGCAAAAAATTCGGACATGCTGTCCTTGTCCCTGAGCCAACACCACAAGGAAATGGAGTTGCTGCATCTACATCTGAACATTCAACTCAACCATCTGCCATCAGAATGCCTTTTGTTGCTCCTCCCTCATCTCCTGCATCATTTCTTCCTTCAGAATCACAATCAGCATTACATTCTCCTGCAACCTCTGTAGGTCTTAACTCTCACTCTCCTAATTTGTACTCTCCGCCTAGTGGACCCCGCTCTATTTTTGCCATTGGCCCATATGCCCATGAGACACAATTAGTCACTCCTCCTGTCTTCTCGACGTACACTACCGAACCTTCCACTGCCCCTTTCACTCCACCTCCTGAGTCAGTTCATCTGACAACTCCTTCCTCTCCTGAGGTGCCGTTTGCTCAACTTCTTGATCCCATTCACCGTAATGGTGATGCAGTTCATAGGTTCCCCCCATCACATTATGATTTTCAATCCTATCTTCTCCATCCTGGAAGCCCTGTGGGCCCTCTTATTTCACCTGGTTCTGCTGTCTCAGGCTCAGGCACATCCTCACCCTTTCCTGACCCCTATTTTCCTGATATTCGATATGGAGTCCCTCAGAAGCTGCTAACCCTTGAAGTGGGGCCCATGCGTGAATGGGGTTCACAGCAAGCATCGGGTTCTGTGACTCCAGATGCCATCCAGCCTCAGTCTCGAGACAACATACTTTTGGATCCACAAGATTCTGTGCTTTCATCGCTTCCAAATATACCCAATGGACACAGAAACAATGATTATCTCATTGATCATCGTGTCTCCTTTGAGCTTACATCCGAAGATGTGGTGAGGTGCGTGGAAAGGAAGCCCACAGCGTTGCCTAAAGCACTGCAGCATGCTGATGACAGAGATTACAATACTAACGACTCAGTTGATGACTGTACTAGTGCTGGAACTTCTGAGAAGGGGCAGACAAATTTCGAGGAGGGACAGAGGCATCATAAGCAGCGTGCTGCCTCTCTCAGTTCAATAAAGGAATTCAATTTCGACCATGTAAATGGTTTGGATTCAGATAAACCATGTATCAACTCAAACTGGTGGGCCAATGAAAAGGTTATAGGCAAAGAAGAAGCTCCCTGCCAAAACTGGTCCTTTTTTCCGGTGATGCAGTCGGGTGTCAGCTAGCAGATATGTAAGTATGTTGGGTGGTCCAAACCCTGCTTCCAATGTACTCTCTCACACACACACACACAACACACATGAAACACATTAATTTGTTTGCCCCTTAACGAAAGTTATCGGGGTGTAGTTCGATGCTGACTTCAGAGAGATGGATCCATTAGGATTACTGTGATTTCCTTTTTGATCCTTTTTGAAGTAGATTGAATCTTAAGGGATGGAGATGGGCAATGTTTTGTTAGAAATAGGGTATGGATAATATAGTATTTTTACTTCTATCAGAAGAACTAACCCTTTAGTCCATAGTCCTTTAGGCCTTGTTTGTCTGTATGCATTTTGGAATGTATAATACATAATTACATATAGTGGCAGTTTGCAATGCTAGTACAGATTTAAAAAAAACTCTCTTTCTTGGTAATTTCTCTTCTTGGTTATATTTTGACTGTACCGTGGCACCCGAACGAAAGGACCTGTCAATAACTGATCCGACTGGTTATAAACCCAACCAAGACTGGCTTGTTAGTCAATGAATTATCGGTTTAAACATGAAGTTCAAACCTGGAAATTGGATTTGTCTGACCTGAATCAAACCCGAACCCAGCCTTGAGCTCACTAAAACTATTGTAAAATTGCACATAACCCAATTCCCTAGAACCCGACTTGGCTAAAATTTTTATTTGTGCAAAAGGGTTCAAACCCGAAGTGTTAGATTGATTGACTAATGACCTGTTTGACATTTTTACAGTGGATAAATAACAAATATTTTTGCCATTGATAAAAGCGTGACAATTTTTATTTGTGCTAATTTGATTAATTGTATTTATTGACCCTTAATCGTTCATCACTCCTCAATCCTCATGCAACAAAAGAGATTCTTTCCATTTATTTTCATACGAGTATCTTCTAATTTTTCAAAAATTGTGATATCTTTCGTTACAAACAATTTAAAATCAAAAGTTGCTAAACATTAGAGGTTTAATTCTGACAAATTTGTGCTAAATCTTAGAAAAATAAAGAGAAGGAAAAAATCAAAAACAAAAAACGGAAGGAAATCTCATAAATTTGTCAAAGGTATGATTTTGAGCCATAATAGAATCAAAATTTGGACAGAGGACCTTTATTACAGGATTTCATTACATGATTTCATTACATAAAATTAAGAAAGTTAAAATTTGGTCTACTTTTACTTAAGTTAACTAAGGATTAGCTGTGATATCGCAAGGATATATAATTTCCCAAAATAAATCTCTTCCCAAAATACTTTTTTTTTATACTCTTCTATTTTATAAATCTCTGTTTCATAAATCCGTATTTGGTTATTGTGTATAAAAACTCTTACAAGATGTTTGCTCCCTAATTTCTTTACATTACAACAAAAATCCATCTTTCTCTTTTGTTTCATTCTAATCACAACAACTTCAGTTCAGGTATGCTCTAAACATATACAAGTATTTAATTTAAATTGATTTCTGTATATTAATCGTTGTTTTTACAACAATTTGATATTCATCCTTTATGATAAAGTTTCAATCTTTAATGGATATGATAAAGTTTCAATCTTTAATGGATAATATTCCATGTGCTAATTCAATGCTAGTCTCAATGATCACTCTATTCTTCTGAATTCTATCAATTATGAAATATTTGAGTTATTATGAATTCTGGCCAAGTCTCTAATTCATATCTATGTAATAAAATCCATAAAAGCAGAGGGAGTAATATATATTTTTTTAACATCGCTTTTTGTTGTGTAATGTATCAATTCGGACGTCTGGGTCGGATCCGATGAGGTCAGACCGACTCTAATTTCAAACTTGAATTATGCTAAATTATTGTGTCTATACGAGTCAAAATCAAATATATTTCGGGTTGGTTTCAGATCAGGTCGGTCGGATCAAGTTTTGACACCTACTTGTGTTTGTGTTTAATGCATATTGGTTTAATGGTTAGCTAACTAGTGTATTGATCTTTTGCTGGCTAATTATTCAAATTCTTCGGTTTCATTATCGATCGAAACAAATTAATTTTCGATTACATATAAACAATTTGTTGTTTTTGTTATAGTTAAATTGAATTTAACTGAGTTGATTGACATAGGAGTAATTACAATTAATGGAAGAAGAGAGGGGGTCAAGCACAATGACCAAAGCAGAAGCCTCAGATTCAAACAGCTCCAATTTTCAACCAAAAAGGCCCAACACTATTATTAGGCCCAATACTGTTGATAGGCTCAAGGCTGTTGATAAGCCCAACAGGCAACATAGTGGTTCTTCTAAATACAAGGGTGTTGTGTATCAACAAAATGGTCATTGGGGAGCACAGATCTATGCCAACCACCACAGGATTTGGTTGGGCACCTTCAAAACCGAGGCGACTGCCGCTGCTGCTTATGATAGCGCCGCCATCAAGCTACGACATGGGAACTCCGGTGATGCCCATCGAAACTTCCCATGGACTGCTCTTACCATATATGAGCCCAATTTCCAAGCCCACTATAGTACTGATCAAGTGCTAAACATGATCAAAGATGGGTCTTACCAAACTAAATTTGGTGAATATTTGTCATCCATTTCTCAAGTGAGCAATGTTCAAACAAGCAATAATAACAACAACAACAAGCAAGAAGGGTACTATTGTCAAGAACTCTTTAGGAAGGAATTGACCCCAAGCGACGTTGGAAAGCTCAATAGGCTTGTGATTCCAAAAAGGTACGCTATAAAGTATTTTCCCGTTAAAGATAACAATGGAAGGAAGTTTGGTGTATGTGAAGGTGAAGAAGAGGGCGGCGATCAAGGAGGAGACATGGAGTTGATATTCTACGACAATACAATGAAGAGTTGGAATTTTCGGTATTGCTATTGGAAGAGTAGCCAAAGTTTTGTGTTTACTAGAGGATGGAACAAGTTTGTAAGGGTGAAGGAATTAGAGGCCAAAGATGTTGTGACTTTTTATACGTGTGAGTTTAGAGAAAATGAGGCTAATGATGTGAAGAAGTTTTGGATGATTGATGTTGTGAAATGTAACAAAGGAAATGATGAAAATGTAGCAAAAAATAATAATGTAGTTGACAAGGAGAAAGGAATTTTGCATGGAAGTGAGTTATCATTGGTTCAAGGTGAAGCAGTTGAGACCAAGAAAAATAAGGGGTTAAAGTTATTTGGTGTTCAACTTGTGCCTGCTAGTTGTGATGAAGATACTAGTTACCAATAATATTTGCATCCATTTTCTTTCTTCTAAGTTTTAATATCTTGTAATTTCGATCTCTACATTGAGTTTTGATATATGATAATTGTTCGATTGTGAAACTCCCTTGGACTATTTTCCATTGATCGTATTTTTAGAGATAGAAGGCGGCATTAGTCTGAAAGATATTAGGATATCTAATGCGATTAGGATTACTACAAATTACAAAATATTATCCTTAACCTATGATGAGAGTTGTATATTATCAATAATGTTGCTTCATTTGTGAAATTTAGTGGATGAGAGTTGACCGACTTGGATGTGCCCAATTTCATGCTACTGAAAATGACTACTAACATTTTCTTTTTCCTACTCTCTTGCACTCCCTTTCGCAATCTTTCACCCCCTATCGTGAACCACCGCAAACACCACCATAACCACCGCCAACCATCGACAATTCGACATCCCCTTGGTGACTCCTAACCCGACTCATTTCTCATTTCCCTTCAATTTGCCTTCCTCACTTCATACCCCCGTACCAATCCAATTATCCAAGACAAATGTTTGGATTTTGTGGCTGTTAAACCAACACAATGCAAATAACATCATAAGGATACTTAAGCAACTAATTGTTATTGTTAACCATGATTAGAAAATAAAGTTAATTTTATGTTTAAAACAACATTAATAAGTTTAAAAGTAAGTTTGATCATACAAAATGGAAATAAGCACTTAGTTTTAGGATAAAGGGTGTACAATTAGACAAGCTAAGGTTATCAAAGTGAATTTCCGAAAAAAAAATTTCCAATCACATACTTCCTTAGTTTTTATAAGTGTTACGTACACTTTAATCGACACTTAATTTTAGATAATTAATTTATATAACAAAAAATAAGTGGGTGTTGAGTTCCCTAAATTGAAAATGTACGAGTAATTATTATGGAATATGTATATGTCAAAGAAAAAGTGTAAAACTTTAAAATTAGAAAAAAAAACCTCATTATAAGATAAATATGACAATAAAAAAATGAACGGAGTAAAGAAAATCAAAGCGAATTATGACTCCGTTTTCATTCTTTATTTTTACTGGTTGATTTTTTTTTTTTTTTAATTTAATAATTTTTACTGTACTAATGAAAAAAAAAATAAAAAAAAATAATTTTTATTAAACTAAACGGAAATTTGAGATTAGACCGCTAGGCCTGGACTGTCTTCTCCGAAGTCAAACTTTCAACTGAAGTTTACACCTTCCTCTTCATTACACTCTCTTCTCTGCTGGAAATCAAATTTAATGAAAGCTACCACTTAAACTTCTCAATGAATTCTTCAATTGATTCTCAAAATCCCAAATCTGAATCAAATATTGTAACCCTAAATGTTGGTGGTGAACTCTTTCAAACCACCCAAAAAACCCTAACCCTAGCTGGCCCCAATTCCTTCCTTTCCACCATTTCTTCTTCTTCAAATTCAAATTCAAATTCACAAGTACCCTTTATCGATCGAGACCCTCAATTGTTCTCAATCTTTCTCTCTCTCCTAAGAACTGGAAATCTTCCCTCAAAATCCAAAATTTTCGATCTTCATGACCTAATTACCGAATCCCAATTCTATGGAATTGAGCCAATTTTAATTAATTCTCTCTCCAACCCATCTCAATTCAACCCGTTAATTCTCCAGAAATCATCGTTTCTTCCCTTAAATGGTAGAGATTCAATTTCTGCTATCTCAACGACGTCGTTTGGTTCTGTTCATGTTGCTCATGGTAGTAAGATCACTTCCTTTGACTGGTCGTTGAGTAGAAAGTCAACGATTTTGACTGAATTCGTTGCAGTTGATTCATTATTGGCAGTTGCCTCTGATGTGGCGGCTGCTGGTGCTACTGATTTTTGTGGATTGCAAATAATTGATCTTGAAAAGGGTTTTGTGAGGGAGTGTTTGAATTGGGAGAATTCAACTAGGTCTAGTTCAAATGTTCAGGCCATTGGTTCATCCAATGAGTACTTGTTTACTAGTTTCGAATCGAGTCGGAGGAACTCTAATGCTATCGTGGTTTATGATCTCTTGGGTGATTTTAGGCCCATTTTCGAGATTGCTCGAAACGAGATATATGGTTCTGATTTTGATTGTTCTACTATTCCAGCAACAAAATTAAATTGGGTTTCTGGTTATAATTTGTTAATGGCATCTGGGAATCATAGTGGACCAACAGGTGTAGTAGGTAGTATAAAATTGTGGGATATTAGGTCTGGAAATGTAGTGTGGGAGATGAAGGAGAAAGTAGATTGCTTTGCTGATGTCGCGGTTTCGAGTTCTTTACCATGTATGTTTAAAGTTGGTATCAATTCTGGTGAGGTTTTCTTCCTAGATTTTAGAAATCTTGGCTCTGAAAGTGAATGGGTTTGTTTAGGAAATCGAACGAAGTTGATTAATTCAAAAAAAGAGGGATTAGGATGTAAAGTTGAATGTCATGGGAGTGATGTATTTGTTAGTAAAGGTGGAGATATAGAGTTATGGTCTGAGGTATTGGTTGATTCTTCATTAAGTGGTGAAAATGTGTTGGGTGGTAGAGTTTTTAAGAGGACTTTGATGGGAAGAGCTAAGGATATGGGAGGTGACAAAATTACCAATTTGAGATTTGGTGGGAACAAGATGTTTGTCACAAGGAAGGATCAGCAGCTTGTTGAAGTTTGGCAGGGCGCTACCGAAGGATTGTGAATCATGATCAATCTTTTGGTAATCCTTCACTTGGATACTACTTTACTAGTATACTAGTCCTTGATTTTCGAAATTAGATATTCTTTTACTTGAATGTAACTTTAGCTCTTTGTAATTCTTGTTTAATTGTAAATGCATGTTGTATTCAGTTATTCTTGTACTCCTAGTGAAGGAAATAGATTGGCAAGTAGTAATTCTTCATCATATTCTTTTGAACGATATTATGTGAATCAATGATGATCTATGAGATATGTTTGGGGTTACTTGACATGGTGGAGTAGTCGGTTAGACACGCTTTTAAGTTAGATGCATCTTTAGGGCATTTTTATAAAATTATGCTGCTATAATAGTTGAACTGTTTGCAAAAAAGTTGGTGCTAGTGATAAAGTTGAATGTGGAAAGTTTTGTTTTTGCAATGTAATTGTCTTTAGCTTTAGCTACGATCTGCTCCCATGACTCCCATAAAACATCATTTTGCCTAGAAGAGTAGGCTAGTAGCCCACGCCGCTTTGCCCAGCTTGCTTGTATTACCACCAATGAGCCTTGTCAGCTACCTTGCTCTCCTCAAACCCCAACTGTAGCACCCATCGAAGAAGGCTTTTACGTATCAGCCATGGAACCACTTTCAACAGATTCACACCAGACAGCAGCTATTGGCATTCGGTTGGAATACCTATACTTCAGGTCTATGTTGTGAATTTCAATCTGATTGGGGCTACCAATATTAATGTACAAAATTTTGGGACTATCAATCAGACTTTTACAAATAAAAAGGGAAATTTGTTGCTCAGTAACAGAATTTCTTAATTTGTTCTACCTCTTGCTAAGCTTAGTACAAGGATTTATTTACAATGGAAGATGAGAATTAAGGTTGAGCTAAACTATCCGGAGATTCGAAAATTCAATCCGCATCTAATACGATATTGTAGGATATCTGATCCGAAATTTTGAATATGGATACCTATTCAGTATTCAGATATCATTTTTCGGATTTTCGGAGATCCAAAATATTTTGGATTTCGGATAATGGATATCCGATCCAAATATCCAAAAATTTGGTTATTCTCTTACATTTTTTTTATAATAATTAAAAATTACTGTATTATATAATAATATCGGATATAAATTTATAATTTCGGATATCGGATGTTCGAAATTTTTCGGATCAAATTCGGATATTGGATATCCCAAATTTCGGATATCTGATCCAATCCTTGCTCACCCCATGAGAATTATCAATCAAAAATCAAAACCCAAAACAAATAATTACATAAACAATAATTTAAAACAAGGAGGAGGAGAGACGAACCGCTGCGGTGGCTAACCGCGGGGTCGCCGGCGGTGGCTGGGCAGCCGGAGGTGGTCGGCGTCGGGTGGCTGCAAGGTGGCGTGGTGTTGGTGGCTTTCACGTGAACTATCCTCTTCACAAGAAAGGCCCAAAGTGTTAAAAGGCCTAACAAGATGTTTTTGGTTACTAAAGGATGGAAAAAAGTTTGCAAGGATAAAGAAATAGAGGCTGATAATATACTGATTATCAATAACATTGAGACTATGAATCTATAATGTTGAAGATGTGAAGATTGACATTTGTAAAATACTAAAATGTAATTTAGTTTATCATACTCCCAACTCATATAAGCATATTGCTTCATGGGGATCAATAGAGACCAAGAAAGACAAGGGATTTAATTACTTTACTCGGTGTTCAATTAGTGCCTACTAATTAGACGACAATTAATTACAAGTTAGCTTCACATTGATCCGTTATCAAGATTTAAATTGAAAAAAAAATAGTCTAACCATTTGATAGATAATTCATCTAACACGACAAATAATTACAAAAAATAGTGCAATCCAACTCAGCTATATTAAAAGTTTTTAAAATTTTTACATGTTATTAAAATGAATTATGTGTGTTGTCGTATATTATCCAACAAATGCAATCTCCTATAAATATTATGCAACCGGATCTCGATTGGATGAGTTAATTACAAATAATGGACATGGACATGGACATGGACATGGACATGGACATGGCCATGGCCCCTTGTAAGTTAATGACCTTATCATACCATTACTATAATTATAACAATTTGATATGGACATGTTGTAGTATGAAGTTGGATTTGGGGTTGCATTTATTACTCATATCATGGTTAAGGTCTTACGCCCGATTGATTTGCCTGCCGTGATCGAGAAGACAATACAACTAGTGCGGCATGTGCTATATACTGATATCATTTTTTACTTACAACCCATCACCTCGAATATTTTTATCCCTTCTTGTTCAATCATATATCATCAATTTATCTATTACCATTCACCAATCACCAATGTCTATGTTTTAATCTCAATGTTTTTTCCTTTTTTTTTTTTTTTTTTTTTTTTTAGAAATCACATACATAAGGCTTATTTGAATATAGATCGGAGACTTTATTAAATTAGGTCACAAATACATTTACAGTTGTTGTATCCTTGGTAATAAACTATTAAATCACAAAAGTTTTGCCATTTGTATATGTTTTACTGAAAATTTTGCAAAGCTCATCATAGATGATATAACGTATTAACATATAATCACAAATGTTGTATTCATATATCAGTGTTAAACTATTCAAATGTATAAAATTTCCAAATGTTTATTATAAGTAAGAAACAGCGTACCGTATCCTTCACATGGGCAAAAACAATCCGTTAACCTCTTTTGGATCATCTTTCACCACCTCAAGCAACGTCCATTTTTCCCAATCTTTTGGAGCAAGTACTTCGTCAGCTCGTATATGTTAGATATTCCTAATTGATGAACGTGAAGATAGAGGGCAATTATGTAATTAACATATAAGTTTAATGGGCTATTTCATTTATGATGCAGTTTTTTTTTTTTTTTTTTTTTTTTTTTTTTTTTTTTGGTAAGGAGAAGGGCCCTATTAACAGATCAAGCATTTGAGAGAATATATGGGCTAATCTCTTATGGACGGTGATTAACCCAAATTTGTTCTACAGATGTACCGTTATACTAGTGTACTCTTAAGTCTTAACACAACCGATTATAAAACACATACACAAGTATGTTATATAATTGGATAGAAAAAATAAAATAAAAAATGGCATGCCCTCATAAATTGAGTATCGTATATTCGTATTGATGATACTCGTATATTGCCTTGTCCGATGTCACATGGAATTATGGACTTTGATGTCTATGCATTATTATATTGAAATAGTAGCTGTCTAAATGAAACAATTGTAAGCGGACATTTAGTAATTAGCCTCTTTATTTGTTGCACTAAAGCTTGAAACTTAATAGGGCTGATTACAACTAGGCAGACAATATTTTGTATTTTCTTTTAGATAAAAATCCAAGTAATTTTAGTATTCAAAGCATGGGCCTCTTATGTTGGACTTGACAATGGGTGTAAATTTGTGTGATTTGATTTGCCATCTAGGGCCCCATCGGCCTCTACTTCGACAATATCGATGATTCACTTTATTTATCTTTTAGGCAGCCAAGCTACTACATTTACTTTACTGTTCTATCTCCGTTTCTTATAAGTTGATACGGGGTATACTAAATTGACATATTTGAGGGGAAAAATACATATGTAGTAAAAGAATTTAGAAAAAGACATAAAACTATATTTAATTATTACAGTATGTGATTTGAAATGATTGAATACGTTTTACAAACACAACAAACTAATCAAATAAAAGACATATTCCATGACAAGGAATTGTTATTGCCAAAAATTGATACATAAAAGGTACGTTCACAATAACTATTGATATCATCAATCACTTTAAAATAAAAAATGATTACAAACAAAATAAATGAGGTGAGATTAAAATCGATATCATTCCTTAATATTGATATCCCCTGACAAATGCCATAAGTTGTGATGATGAATGATAATGATTAGTATGATTTTCAACAATATGATTTTATTTTTATTTTTATTTTTATTTTTATGGTTTATGTCCTTTTTATGTGGGGCTCTTTAATTTGAGTGACTGAGACTTTGAAGCATCATTTCTAAGGTATGAGTATGAATATGTGATCATATCTCAAAATGTCTTCAAGATATTTGCTTTGTGATTAATGTAATGTCTTGTTTTGGTAACAAAAAAAAGTAACATCGATCATTCTCTGAATTCAAAGCTATTCAAGTGATAATTAGAATCATGAGAGTCAATTTTGGAGAGGGGTTTATGTTATGGTCAAATTTCAGCTACGACATCACGATCGTCATGACGAACGATTACGAGCAACGGTTGACAACTTTTATTAACCCAGCGAAGCTCAAGCGATTGCTGAGGAAGTGCAGAATATTTGTTCCTTTCTTTAAGGGAGACATTTTGCTGATAACACTTGAAATACCGTCTTGATAAGTCCAAGACAAAGAGATAAGCACAAGACTTAGTCAAGCAACCACTTCCCTATTTTTTAGGGAGGTTGACGAGAGCTTCCAACGGCATCTTCAGTTAGGGTTTAGCCCATCTAGCTAGTATTATAAACAGCAGAATAGTTGTATTCAGTAGTTACAATCTACGGACGCATCTTACTCTCATTTCTAAGCTTCTATTCTCATTGTACTCGAAAGTGTTCATAGTGAATTGGTGGTCTTGTTCCCACCCGCAGTTTTTCCCACATTTGGGTTTTCTGCGTCATCAAAACACCTTGTCCTTATTTGTTTTTAACTTAGTTTAATTCGCTTTTCATATTTTATATTCTAGCCGTCGAACGTCCTAACCTTAGGTCGTCCTTAGGCGAAATTTGGCATAAACAATTTGGCGCCCACCGTGGGGCTGGCGACTATATCTTCATTCGAAAAATCCCCAAAAAGCAATCATCCAACATCCATGTGTTCTTCGGGAGAAGACATGACCCTCGAGCAGCTCATGCAGGAAGTCCGCAAGACTCAAAAGGAGCTCGCACAGGAAAAAGCTGAGAACGCGCGTCTTGCTGAAGAAAGTCAGAAGACTGTTGATTCCCTCAGGAAGGAGCTAGATTCCGTTCGCAGTAACATGCCAGGACGGCGCCGCAATACGCACAACATCTCCTCTACGATGAGCCTGGACTCTGAAGACGAATCAGGTGGCAAGGACGACGATCAAGAGGATGACGAAGAGCATGACTGTAGAGACCTGATTGTGTCTCCCCAAAAACCAAACCCAGTGATGAGTACCTTTCACGTCTTTGATTAACGAGTTCGGTAAAGAGTTGAAGAGTCTCGTGAACTTCCCTTAGACCTTGACCATATTTCTAACCTA